ATACATATATATATATATATATATATATATATATATATATATATAATATATATATATATATATATATATATATATATATATATATATATATATATATATATATATATATATACATATACATACATATATACATCATATATAAAGAAAAAAAATCCTTGCATGATAGTGGCTATTCATACACGCCAACTAACCTTGTTCATGATCAGCAATATAGGTGTAAATAGGAAGGTTATGGGTATACGTGTAAATGTATGTGTACAATACTGCCGTCACACATACACATAGCTATATCATATTAAACTGACATCTATTCGTATTTCGAGCTAAAAACTGTGTAAGATGCCATTAAATGAGTGAGGCGCACGACAAGTTGAATACAAAGGACACAAACTGGATTATCAAAAGAATCACATACTAAAGATCAATGTAATGAACACGTTCATAACAAACCCTGTAGCACCCAGGAGTAAATATCCGTAAATCTCTTTCTCTCGCTCTATATTTTTGTATAAATACACCAAAAAAAGTATAGATACAAAAACACACATACACACACACATATATATATACATATACACATATATTCATGCACGCACACACACACACATATATATATATATATATATTCATGTATATAATCACCACACCCGCACCCACACGTTTATATATATACATACATACATACATATATACATATACATATACACGTAGGGGCACGTGCACAATTACTACCTGTGCCGTCCAGGAGCCCTAGATTGTTATATGAGCCGTGGCTTGTGCGATTGGTTGTGTGAGGGTTGAGCATGTTGCGGTTGTTGTTGTTTGCGTCTACCAGGCTGTTGTAGCTCATGGGGCCAGCGTCGTAAGTCCCGGCCATACCTGGAAGAGCGTGGAACAAGATACATATGCGTGATTGGTGTGGACTGGATATGCCAAGAGTATATCAGCAGTAAGATCAGGCGTTCACTATGGATAGTACGACATAGGTGAATGGGATGAAAAAATGGCATTTACTTGAGGAGTAACCCCCACAAGTTAGTCGACTGACTGGCACACGATATCTTGACAACGCGCAGATACAACTTCGTAGTGACGGTACGCCAACATCACACAGCACACGCTTGTCACTAACACAGCAGGTAGCCAGACAGGTATTTGTAGACCTCTGTATATATATATATATATATACAAATACGTACCTCCGTACATACATGAATGTATATACTAATATATACATGATTGCAACAATCGCCGATATCACATATACACACATACTCGTGATGGCACTAGTGTACGAATGAATCTATTTCAACGTACACACACACCCACACCCACACCCACACCCCTGCAACACACCTTGAAAGTCATTACTGGGCATCAGCGCATTCAACATCGACTCACTGGGCGACGAGTTCGCATATGACATGGAGTGCTTGAGCTTTCCCCCCACCATCGGCCGTTGCATCTGCAGCCCCAGGTAGGTAGCTGCCAGGTTGGGTTGGGAGGTTAGGTTACCCTGTGACCCTACAACCGACTGACCTGGTAGGCTGGACTGTGAGTGGTAGGTGTTGAGGTCGTGGTAGTTGCCACGTACGGTGGGAGGGGTGCTGTTCTGCTGGACGTTGAGCATCATCATGTCCACATTGGGGAGCTGTGCGAGAAGGGGGCAATTGGTGTGTGAGGAAAGGGCAATTGGTGTGTGAGGAAAGGGCAATTAGACAGGGCAATTGGTGTGTGAGGAAAGGGCAATTGGGCGGGGCAATTGGTGTGTGGGGAAGGGCAATTTGACGGGGCAATTGGTGTGTGAGAGAAGGGCAATTGGACAGGGCAATAGGTGTGTGAGAGAAGGGCAATTGGACGGGGCAATAGGTGTGTGAGGAAAGGGC